TATTATATATCTTAATGTTCATATATAGACATTTTTCTATTGAATACTCGAGCCTATCTCTATTAAAATTTGAGTTGATCTCAATTCTCAAGCACTCGTATTTGCTTATCGAGTCGAGCCTAAATATGGCCGATCGAGCTCATGCTCGAGCAACAGCAAAACAAATCCAACATTGTCAAAATTTATTTTTAAATAAATAAGATTCAAAACAATGCCAAAAATTCATTAATTCAAAAATCCCTAGCTAGCTAGCCCTATTCCAACGTCATACGAGTATTTTCTTTATTGCGGGCCCCACCTCCAACGTTCTGCTGTGCGATTCGAACGTTGCCAAACAAAATAGAGAAAAGCGGAAAAAAAAAATCAGTAATTATGAATGTTACCGTTAGCACCTCGCAAAACCTGGCTATAAATTACCACCCTTTCTCCAATCTTTCGACCCATCACAAAAGTCTCACAAAATACACTAAAAAGGGTGTTCTTTTTAAATCTCTCTCTCTGTCTCTCTATCTCTGCAAAAATCACAGCATTATCCAAAGATCAAAATGGCGCAATTGAGAACCTTCGATGCAGCAATTTCAGTCGTTTTGGTGGTGCTCTGTATTCTCTCCGTCGCCGCCAGTGCAGAGGAAGGCTACCCGCCTTCGCCAGCGCCGGCGCCCGATGCCGGAGCTGGGTTTACAACGAGCAGCTCCGGTGCCTTCATTTGCCTCTCTGTTTTGCTGTCGTTCGTTGGTCTTTTCCTGAATTAGATAGAGACAGACGTGCTGAGTGAATTCATTATTATTATTATTATTATTTGAGTGATGAGAGTGGATTCGAGGTTATTGCATTTATTTATATTGCTTTTTTTTTTTTCTTTTTCTTTTTTGGTTGACCGAGATGGGCGATTTATATACAGAAAAATGTAGTGGTGTAATAAATGCTATAAGGGCGACATTCGATAGTAAGTATGCATTTTTATTCAAATAGTACAAAGGGTCGACACGCCTAGTAGTTAACTCCACACGTACAAGCTAGNTTTTTCCCGACTTTGAAAAAAAAAAATAAAAAAATACATTGTTCAACAAAAATCAACACACACAAAAAAAAATAAAAAATCAGGTTTTAAATAGATCTACTGTTGAGGCTGCAAGTGCACCTGGATCAAGTGCACCTGGATCAATGCCGTTTGCTGGTGAAATGAAGATGGAAAAATAGATGTGTCTGTGAAAAACACAAATATGGATGAACTACCAGCATAAGAAAATTTGCAATATGGCCTGTTTGAATTTTGCTTCATTAGACAACTTATTTAAGGAGGCCACTGATGATGTGCTGCCACATCATGGAGTGGTGAATTATGTAATTTCCTGATTTAAGTTAAATTGTGCATGTTCATGTTTGAAAGGGGTTGTAGCATGATTTGATTGAAACAATTTGATGGACTTATTTGTTAACAGTTTTGCCGTGGAGCTATCGGATGGTTCGACTTATGGAGTCATCCATACTTATTCACCAATAGTGTATTGACACGTGTCGTGCAATAAGTACAATTTGGACATATGTCAATACATTAAATGGTGGATGGCTTCATAAGAAAAACCATTCGATGACTCCATAGAATTTTTGTATTTGTTAATATGTAAGTGGATTTGGAAACTTGCGCAATGCATTATACTCAGTAGCGAAGTTCCGATACTGTAAAATTCATATTTTTTAATATAAGATTCTGAAAAGTTCATTTGATTTTTCTCAACTTACTCGGTTCACTTTCTGTTATTGGCAATAACTTGTGGAAATCATGAAAAAAAATAAAGTTGCTATTTGCTAAGTTGTATCTCAGACATTTTAAGTGCAAGCAAAAACTGTTGCTTCAGTACTCTTAATAAGATACAAAAAGCATGGACAAGGTCTTTGAGGAATTTGCATGAATCTTAACACAAAAAACAGCAAATGTAAACTACAGATCAAACACATAGTTGAAATGAAATGCTCAATATCATGAAAAATACATTCTTTTAGATAACTCTAGAGTGATAGTGTAGCCAGTAACATCCTTCACTCTTTGAGGTAAATAACAGGATCAAGAGTAACAGGAGCAATGCATGGTTCAGCCACAATACTTTCAAGACTTCCAAATTCACCCTCCAAGTAACCCTTGAGTAATGCCACCACTACCCCTCCAACCCCTCTCCTCATCTTCTCTTTCGAACCTTTCCCGCTTTTACACACCAAACTCGTCAAACCCAACTTCGACTCATTCAACATGTCACAGTGGCCATACTCCTTAGCTAGAAAGTAGCAGCACGGAGGCTTGCTCTCGTTAAAAAATTCCGAGTGGTTGAACCCATCAGGGGCAAGAGGTGGAATAATACCCCACCTCTTTTGACTGCTCAAGCCAGTGCCTATTATTCCAACAGGAATCGAGATTTTGAATGAGTGTGGAACGTACGAAAGGATTTTCGGTTCGACCCAAGCAGGTGGATTAGGCATGGAAACAGGGTCCAACCCTAGCAAAGCCTTAAATTTGAGGGAAATTGGTTTGTAGTCTAATGCAAGGGCAAATGCGACTTTTCCACCACGGCTGTGGCCCATGAGGGCAAGTTTTGAGATGTTCGGTTTTACGTTTTCCGGAAGGTACGGAGAAAGGCCCTTCGGTAGCCAGTCTGTGACTTTTGCAGCCATCTTGATTTCGTCGTTCAGGGATATGAGAAGGTAGTGGTAAAACTGCGAAAATACAGAGTTGACCGTTTTATTTGGCCATCATCGTGCAAAACGTATATTAATGGAAATGCGGAATAACTAACATTACCGACCTGTGGGGCAACAATTATGTATCCATGGGAAGACACGTGCTGAAGGATGTGAGAATACCATGTGTTCTTAGTGCAGTAACCATGGCAGAAGAGAAGCACTGGATAACTGCCTTCCGCTTCGGGAGCCAAAACAAGAAGCTCTGCAGGAGAGTATGGTTTCTTCACTTTAGTGGTCTTTACCGTAACATTTCCAGGTTCGAAGACTGAGAGTTTAGACGAAACGAATTCGTTTTCGAACTGTGCCATTTTTATTTTTTTATTTTTTTTTCTAGTGCATGAGGGAATGAGGTTACGACCCTTCCAAGGACTTGTTTATATAAGCAGAAAAAGGAAATTGTGTTCAGGGTGGAGTTGGAATTGCATGTTTGGCCTTTTAACTAATGTCCAGTTAGTGCCCTTTTAACAAAGTTTGAATTGAATGGTGCCCTTTTAACAAAGTTTGAATGTTGGAATATACATGTAATTAGTTATTGGTAGGTCAAAAATCAAATGTTGCCAAGTTTGGCAATAAGGTTGCTGCTGCCTAAGCACTGTATACTTACTCTTTGCTAGTTGAGGTGCATTCACATAGTTAAGAGGCTTTATTGGAATAAAAATATCGGTGATCGATTGTAGTTAGTACCTAACCTGCATTTTTCCACCCAAAAAAAACCTAAATGTGAGAATAATTTTTCACTTGCATATGTTTATATATAACTATATCCGCTCATTATGATTTTTTCTGTTAACTAAGGTTAGTTTTTAAAAGGTGTTACTATTTACCGCCTCCTTATTACTACGTACCGTTCCTGGACAATTTTGCCCATGACATTTTTTTTCAAAAATAAATAGAAAAAACTCCCATTGGCCACCGTGCGCGTCCGGTTTCACCGGTAGGACGCACCGCGCGCGTCCAGTTTTGCCGGTAGAATGCACATTTTTTTTTAATAATCGAATTTTTATGTATTATATAAATATGTTAGAATTTAGATATTATTATGTTATAAATTACAATTTATTATCTTATAGTTAGAATATAAAAATTATTATATTATAAATTATAATTGATTATCTTATAGAATTTTATTATTATATATTAGAACTTAGAAATTATTATGTTATATAACATAATACTAATTATCTGTAAGAAAATAATAATATAACATTTATAGTTATTGTCTATTAACAAAAATATATATTAAATAATATAACGATTTATAGTTATATTAATATAATATTTTTTCCAGAAATAAAAATTTATTTCTAATACTAATTAAATTTTGGATAATGTAAAAACTAATTTTATAAGATAATCAACTCTAATTTATAACATTTATAACATAATAATTTCTAAGTTCTAACATAATAATAATTAATTTTATAAAATCATAAATTCTAATTTATAACATAATAATTTCAAAATTTCAACATAATAATAATAAATTCTAATTTATAACATAATAATTTCTAAATTCTAACATAATTTCTATAATAAATAAAAATTTGATTTGTAAAAAAAAAAGAAAAAGACAAATGTCCGGCCGACGGTACCGATTGTCCACGCGGTCACCGGATGGCCGAAATTTTTTATTCTTTTTAGTGTTTTGAAAAATTTCAGGAACAAAACGATCCAAGGAGGCGATAGGTAGTAAAAGGTGGGCAGTATTTAGTAATCCAAACGTGGTATGTTTAGTTATTAATGAGGTTTTGAGTTTATATTGAAATAATATTTAAAATTATTGAGAAAATATGAAGTGATATTTAGTTGAAATTATGTAAGCGAATTAATAGTAAATTAAAGATAATTTAAGTGTAAAAATAATTGAATAATATTATTTAATTATATAATAATATTGAGAATAGTTTGAGTTAAAGTCTGAGTATGGATCAAATATGAATTGGAAAAAATTATAAAGACACAGTTTGTGTTCGGATTGTCAAATTGGAACAAGATCGTAATTTATTTACAATGATCAAATGTGCAATTAACTCATTCTATGAAGGTTGTAATTTGTCTTTCAACTATCATTAATCATTATCATATTATTTTTATAGTTGTAAAAAATAAACAACATAGTTTTTAAACCTAAATTAAATTCGAAAAAAGTGGCAAAATAATTATATGAGCAAGAAATTGCAGTCAAGAAAGGAAAGGTTGTTGGTTGGACTTGGCACTTGAGATATAGCAGCAAGATTATGAGCAAGAAATTACTTTAACGTCTTCTCTTCTAAAAAGTAAAAACTATCCATTTCTTCCCCTCGACATATTCCTTTTCCCTTTTTCACAAAATCTTTCCATTTGATTCCCCTTTTTTATCAAGTTCCCGTCTGTAAGTGAGGAAAACAGAATATCTGTTCAGGGTTTTTCTTTTTCCTTTTTTTTTTTCTTTTATATTTCTTCTTTATCCTTTCTCGGGCTTCTTTGTCATTTTTAACTTGTTGGGTCTTGCTATTTCTATTTCACCTGATAAAATACAGGTTCTAGTTTCTACCTTTGAATTTGACTGCAAATTTCTGGGACCAAATTGGGTGTTTCTCCCCGTGAGAAGATTAGGATGGGTTTAATGGATTCCCAGGTTTTAGTCGCCCTTGGTCTTTCACTTGTGGGTGGTTTGAGTACCTCAATCGGTGAGTGACTATATAGCTTCATGCGTTTGACTTGCGGTTTCCATTGCTCTGGTGATCGAGGTTTTTAATCTGGCCAACAAGCCGAATTTTTGTTTGTTGTACAATCTGATTTGTGAAATTTGATGCTTTCTTTTTGTAGTAAATCTTAATTGTTCTGTTTAAGCTGTGTTCTGACTGTAACCCATGTTTCTTGAGTTTCTCATTTGGACATTGTACTCCCAGTTGCCTGTTGTAACTTGTTACTGTTGTTTGAGTAAGTTATAGAGGGTCGTGTTTACCCAATTCTTGTGTTGTGTTTTAACTGTGTTTACCGTGGATATTATTTGTAAATTCCCTATAAATTCCTGCCTCCTGTCAGGGATTATGTATATCATGTTTGTTTTTTCCCCTCATTGTGGTTTAGTGATCGAAATCATGCTATAGATATGTTTCCTTTTCAAGTATATAGGTGCTCTTGTTTGTAGTTTTAAGCCAAGGGTCAAACTTTCTTCAATTGCTACCCGCATTTATGCTTTCTGGTCGTGTTTTTGTGCAGGAGCACTTTTAGTTGTCCTTAACCAGGCTCCGAACCTTAAGATGCTTGGGCTTTTACAGGTAATTAAACCCAGCATCATAGGCTGAAATGATTTAGATTGGCCACTTCTCAATTCAATTATTTGCTAAAAGGATGTATTTCTGTGTGATAAATTTCATTTGCGTAACTTCTAGATATCTTTTACATGAAGGGTTTTGCTGCTGGCCTTATGTTGAGCATATCTTTCATGGACTTGGCTCATAATGCCATAAATTCTATTGGCTTCTTAAAAGGAAATCTCTGGGTACAGTCACATTCACCTGCATCATATCCTTTTGTCTTTACATCTTGTTAATTCATTTAATTTCATGTGTGCTGATTTATTGGCTGCCGCATAGTTCTTTGCAGGTGTGATTTTCTTTGCCATTGTCGCTAATTTCATCCCTGAACCAACTCTTGCACCCATTTCAGATTCAAAGAGAAACAAGGTATTTTGTGTTATATATATCAGATCGTTTGTGATTAGTTTCTTTATGGGATTATCAGAAATTATTTTGGTGGCTGAAAACAGAAAAATGGGGATGAAGGTGGTAAGGACATCATGAAAAAACATCGTCGCCAAGTCTTGTTCAGTGGAATCATCACTGCTGTAGGTTAGCTTGTTTCATTATTTTCTACAGCCTATATTCTTTAAAAATTGGGAGCAAATGATGACCTTTGCTCTAAGTTCTGTTATTCCTGTCGAGTTCTCTCTGGCATTGGAACTCTGTTACATCTCTTCTCATTTTCAGGCATAAGTTTGCATAATTTTCCGGAGGGAATGGCGGTGTTCCTTGGATCAATCAAGGTAGTTATAACTTTTTAATCATTTTGGTAGAGTAACCTATTTTAATTGTTCCAGACCTGATTTCATTTAAAAATAGCTGTTGGAGTTCATTATCTTTTTCTTTTCTATGTAGCTATCCTAGTCCCCAGCCTATATTTAGGGCAACCTTATTGTATCTCTATATTGTCTTTGTTTTCCACTAAACTGAGATACAACTTCCTATTTCGAACCTGGCCTTTCTTAAGTTGCGTTCAAGCTACTTTAATCTGTCATTTCTAAGGAATATGTACTGGATAATTGACCCTTTAAAAGTTATTTATGAAATGCATCCACAAACAATGGTTCTCTGCACTTTTTTCGAGTATGAATTTGGTGTAGATTATTATTATTATTATTATTAGGTATCATGGAGAATAAGTTAAGAATTAAATATTATTATAAGCAATCTTGTCTTATTATTATTATTATTAGGTATCTTGGAGAATAAGTTAAGAATTAAATATTATTATAAGCAATCTTGTCTTGTTGGACAAGTTAGGAATAGGGTTTAGGAGTCTTATTTAAAGGGCCCATCATCTATTATTTAGTTGATTTTGAATTAAATAAGATATTGTTGAGTTTTGTAAGTTTTACGAGAGGGTATCTCGTTTATCCTTCCCACTCGTACGCTTCCCTACATCAGTTGGTATCGGAAGTCAGCACGATTCACGATGTTGTCGCGAAGACAAGATGCTGCAAACGACGGGCGTGTCGCC